GCAAAGAGGGAGTAGAGACTAGAATGGGTGGATGGGAATGGGAGCGAGAGGAAAAGGGAGAAAAGTGCAAGAATGCAAGTAAGAGGGTTTTCTGGGGAAATTCAGGGAAAGGTGAGAGATTAAGGGGGAGTGGTGGTAGTGACGAGGAGTAACACATGTCTGTCTAAAGGGATGTATGTAAGGGAGACTGAGAATGGGAAGGAAGAGAGGAAGATATGGATGAATGGTAAAAATGGCTAATGGTTGAATCAAACAAATGTGCTAGACATCTAAGGTCATATAGCACTATGGTAATGTATTGTCATGAAAAGGGTAAATGAATCAACGATTAGTATAAAGTGTTAAATGTCAAAGATTATAGTGTTATAGGATGGCATAATAAGGAATAGGTTGAAGAGGGGGTGCAAATAAAGTAAATCAGGGTGAGAAGGATAGAGGGGGGATATCAGATTTTGGTGGATCAGGGAAAACAGGAGCAAATACGGGGGGGTAAGATATAAGCCATGGAAGAATGGAAAGGTCGGAGGTGAGGAGAGTAGGGTATCCATGGAGAAAGGAGTAGGTAAACATGGAGAAGAGGTAAAGGTAGGAAACAAGGATTGTGGGATAGTTTGGAAAGATGGAATCGAGCATAGCATCAGAAAAAGAGGGGCTTGACATCGAGAGCAGGATGGCATGCCAGACTCAGTATACAAGCTTTCAACTGGAGAGGAGTGGAAGGCACCTAGGGCTAAGTGGAGACCGCAGTGGTTGACTATCGACGTGAGCAAGAAGGGAGGTAAAGGCAGAGTAGATGTGGCATCCATAATCTAGAGTGGAGACTATCAAGGTAACATGAAGATGGATGAGTTTTGCAATCTAATGCTGTGTTCAGAACTCCTTGTCTTGCTCATCGACTTGTCCAGGACCAGTGGGCCACATTTGGAACCTCCAAGACCCTTTCTGCCCAGAATGCAACCGGCTCAAATGTAAACATTCACTTTATTTATTTTACACGCTGCATAGGTTTTGTAACTCCTTTGATGCATATTTAACTTACCTGCAACTGACAAACACAAAAATATCATTTGATAACACCAATAAAAGGCAATAAAATTACCCATTAATATCTTGTGGTTGATATAGAAGATGGGAATGAAACGTTTAGTTTATGCGATGAGGGATGAGGGGTAGGTGTACCGGGGATGTAGAATTAGAGTATTGGAAGTGATGGAGATTGGGGTGTTTAGATAAAAAAAAAAAAAAAAAGAACGAGATAAGGGAGACCCCCCAGTCCTGTAGCATTGTACTGATACTACACCTTACCTGGGAGGCAAAGCCCCCAGGTAAGGAAAGGCTATACAGCACTATGATAAAATATTGTGGCAAAAAGAGTAAAAAATGAGTTAATGGCTAGGACAAAATGTTTGATGTCAAAGGTTAGTTAGTATAGTAGTGAAAAGGTTACAGAGGGAAGAGCAAACAGATTATGCAGGACATTCAGGACTGACAAAGCCAGCTTTTCATCCATTCAGCACAGCTCTCACTTTAGGATGTGGACAGAAGAAGAGGAGAAGACCATGCAAAATGTGTTGAGATGTGGGCTGAGGTCCAAGGAGTCTCCATCTCTTATATTATAAACATTAAAACACAATTTATAAAAATGCATTTTATTTCATATCAACAAAGGTTTCATGTCAATAAAAGCTATAAAATTGTTACCTTTATCAGAATCAGCACTTACAGTCATTGTAGCTATGTTTTCAAGTCAATCAAAAATATAAGCTGCCCTACTTCCATTTTGTTGTCTACATTGCAATTTCAAGTTAAGCAATATGAATAAATGATTCTACAAACAATTCATTGACATTTCCACATTATTTAGTTCTTGTTATAGATAAACACAAAAGAACACCAGCAACACAAAACCAAAAATCTAAATTCATATATATTAAGAAATAAATTAAATGATCTATTTAGAGTGAAAACTAAGAAAAGAACACAATCAAGCAGTTGTTTACAGTAGCACAATATTTATATAATTGTACAATCTTTAAGAAGAGTATTACAAACACTTAAAAATACAACACATGAAGCAGAACTCATATAGAAACTTTGTTTTTGGATTCAGAACAAAAATAATTTCACCAAAGACACTAAAAACCACATTTTCCTATTTGTTTGTGATCAATAAAATGTATTTTAAAAAAGATCTTAAATTTTTTGTCCATTTTTCTGGCTATGGAATGAAATTAACTCAGCCCAAAGTGAGAGCTATAAAGTAACTGCAATAGTGTTCCAGTAGTTTACAAGAACTCCTCACACCAGTCAGATAAGCACTGGTGGCAATCTCCAGACTGCTTGGCATTGGCACCGGCAGTGTCCTTTAACCAGTCGATGAACAAGTCGCGGTTCTTCTTCAAGACTAGGAACTGACCAAGAACTACATAGGCCTGAAAAAGTTGATATAGACATGATGACTCATGAGTGGTGGTGATAACATTACATTTAAACTTATACTATATTTGGAGAGAGAGAAAGAAATGAAGAGAAAGGAGAAAGAAAAGAAGAGAAGAGAAAAACAGAAAAAAGCAAGATAGAGGAAATGAAAAGGAATGGGAGATAGAAGCAAAAGGAAGAAAAGGATAAAATATGAGAATGAAAAGAAAAGCAGGGGGGGGGGGGAGGAGAGAGAGAGAGAGAGAGAGAGAGAGAGAGAGAGAGGAGAGAGAGAGAGAGAGAGAGAGAGAAAGAGGAGAGGAGAGAGAGAGAGAGAGAGAGAGAGAAGAGAGAGAGAGAGAGAGAGAGAGAGAGAGAGAGAGAGAGAGAGAGAGAGGAGAGAGAAGATTTTGTAAATGTTTACATCAAAGATACATATTGAAATCAATAGTACAAATCCAACATTTCAGAGAAAAGTTCCTCACCTTATCGAAGCCTTTGCTTGCTAATCTTTCTCCTAGGACGTTGCCAATGCCTGCCAGCTGTGTCACCTCCTTCTCCCCCATGGGCTCAGCCACGAAGTTGCGATGCTTCTGACTGGTTGTCGACATGGTGGCAACCTGATATTTGAAAGCGGTATTATTCCATGCATTCACATTTAGGAGATATCAGAAAAATGTGTGACAGTATGGTAAATGAGTTTTTCCCTTCATGAAATGAAAGAAAAAACATGAAAATAAATGACTTTAATGAAGCTATCTTCACATTACCTAGGGTTGCACCCAGAACAATTATTACCCCCCTGTCATCTGTTCCAATGAAAGTGAATGAATCCCATCCAAGATGCAAATATACTCCATATATTGCTTTTTGTTTTAATAATACACTGGCTAGAAAGTTTGGCAATTCTTTACAGTACGTATGCACTCGCCCAATCTAAACTGCTGTGACAACTGCCTGAAGGGAGGGCTGATGCAATATTTAGAACTCTGGCTGTGTGAGGCTGTACCTGTGTTGTAAATAACCATTTCTTATGCTTTATATGATGGCGGTGTCCATTTTCAGCTATCTGTATGGATCATTCACAGTAACATTTACCAAATTAATTATCACAAATAAATAAAATAAAAATAAATAAATGCAATAAAACAACATATTTGTTAGAGGGCCTGCAAAATATTTTTTTATATGTTTAAAAACTAGAGTCGGAGGAATCCAACAATACCAATTAGAAAGGGTATAAAATCCACAATTTCCAGGAGCCACAACAACCTTATGCCTCCAATGCCACAACAAAATGAGAACAAAGTCATTAGAAGCAATGGAGAATTAGACAGATTTGTAGCGGATGACGTATGAGGGAAATCAAATCAGCCAATTAGATCTGTGGATGAACATGTGACCATAAGCACATCAATCCACCTCAATAAAACCAATCAGATGTGGAATAGATCACGAGAGAATAGAAGCTTGGCCTAGGATAAGGTGTTTAAAATTCAAATCAGTTCCATCATGGCTAGAGAAGTCTGTAGGGTATGAGAATAATTACTTGGAATTCATTGCAAAATATCATAGAAATAATGACACTAGCTTATTATACCTGTGAAGTAATGGTGTACTTCCAGTGAGGTACAATGTCCACACTCTAAGACACCGTGTCCTTACAGAAAAGACATGGCAGTTCTTCAATGAGGCCATGAAACTGTAGATAAGGAACGGGCAAAGAGCGATCACAATTCCCACCAACACCGACCTGGATGACCCTGACAATCGCTGTGACCTGCTGTCTTGCCCATCAATAGTTAATGCTTAAGGTAAAATAAAGTTAAAACTGTTCCTGAATCTGGGCTCTCTCCTGCCAGAATATACGAGGGGAAGATTTTGGGTATTATTGAAAATGCAACCCCACACCTAATATTAAGAATCTGAGCTTACCATGTGGTAGAACAACACATTCTATGATAGTTTTCTTCGTAAATTGATGATAACGGAGTTACTGAGGGCATAAAATTCACAATTTCCAGAGGCCGTAGTAACCTTACAACTCCAGCACTGCGACAAAATGACAAAAAGTCAAACAGATTTGTAGCGGATGACGTATGCGCAGGAAATCACACGAGACAATTAGATTCGTTCGTGAACGTGACGTGACCATAGACATTCAATACAACCAATCAGATATGGAATAGATCATCACATGACAATAGAATCTGGGCCTAGGAGAAAGTAGTTGAAATTCAAATCAGTTTAATCATGGCTACACAGTGCACAGGTTGTGAGAACAATTATTAGCAATCTTTCTTGCAAAATAATCATCACAATAACGAAGATAGTTTGCATTAGTTTCTTGCTTCATTAGGGCACAGGTGTATTTATTTGGTTCACGCTATATACCGCAGGGATTTGTGTATACAGTGCCGCGACTTATATTGTCGCATAAACTGACGGAAGGAACAGTGTTATTCTAATGGTGTAGCGTGGCATTAGTCAATGTGAAAGAGATAGACACATTGGATAAGAACTGCTCCTTGTTAAGTCGAACCAAGTGTTGTTTGGTGGTTGCTGTTTGGGGTATTATTAGATTTTATGCTCATTGGATTCATAAAATGATTTGGATTGGGACAATATTCGTTACGGAGGTTTCAAGCAAACTACAATTTATCTATTTAAGGTACGTTCTTTAGGTATAGTATTGTCTTAGTTGTTATATATTTCCGAAGCTTTAATGAGCCTAATTATTATCATGTTGATATAAGGGACCATCTATCATGTACGTCGATTGAACTATGGCTATAATAACTGTTAGCATCATCCACCAGATTTTCGATTGATCAGATAGTGCCTATTCGCCAGTACAACTCTGATGTCATTAATAGATGATCTATTATTTTTTTTTTTTATTTATATATATATAATGGATGTAAGATGTTTCTAAGTACGTTATCGATTGCTTTTCTCATTATTTGATAATGATTACTAATGTTTGTCAAACGAATAATTAGACGAAATATGGAGGAACTAAACCAAACACGAAATAATAATTAGCTACTGATCATTCATTGGGTTCATAATAATTGCCTTATTAGTATTTCTCGATTAATCCCAATAACGTGTATCCGACCACGACGATTATTCCAGTGATTCATGCTTAGCCGGTGGAGTACTGATTGAATGGAAAGGAGAGTATTTTATCTGATAGGTCAATCTCTTGTTCCCGAGAGAAATGTCCCTTTGTAATAGCTTACCGTGAAGTGCACTGTTTTCCATATTTATTGATATCTATTGATTTTGGCATTCACTCATTATTCATTAATATGTGGTTCCTACACGCACCTTCAGACCAACAATGGTGTCTATACTTCTATTTTCTAATTAATACACGGTTTTGCACTGAGTGTGTTGTGCGAGGCAGAGACTGTGTATGGGATTCTTAGATTGCTTGAGCATCTAAGATTTTGTGGGAAAATGAGACTTGAACCGCTTCAAATACTCCCTTCATCAAATCACTGGCTTAAGCAGGACGACTGGGAAATCGGAACCGTTATGCGGGTGCTCCATATTGGTGCACTGGGTGGCAGTGGAAGAATTGTGCAGAGTAGATATAGCCACTAGTGGGCGCGAAGTCTTTCGTTTTGCGGTGCATGATTTTGTTGACGAAGGTGTAATAAAGCAAATGGCAAGCAAACTGTGCAGATTAGAATGCAGCTCATCAAAAACCCATTAGTTGCCATGGTGGTACCAGGCCAGGAATTAAAATTGGGGACATTTGAATGTTGATCAACAGAGTTTATCGTCAGCTGGCTAATTTCTATTCACTCATGTGAATCAATCCTATTGCGCCATAAGCGTAAGAATATGGTGAGTAGGATGGAAGAAGTCTGGTCGCTAGCATGGTCGGACATGGGTTGTTCCAGCCGGGCTTGACCGCACAAGACAGGCAAAGATAACCTCTTCGCTGTAACCGACACTTGTCTGATAATCCCGTGCTGAGTCATGGTGGAGATAGGGATGACGCTGGAATACCCTTCATGCTGCTCTATAAAGAAGTATTCTCCTGGGTCAGTTGACTAATGTAAACGTCCATCACCTTCGCTACAAATCTTGTCTTTCGTTCGAAGCCAGAAAGGCTGTACACTCTCTCTCATCTTGTGCAGTTAGTATAGGAACGTGAGCTGGCGATACGCCTGATGTGTAATTTGTCTTCCAGACAATGACATGGAAGAGCCCTGTAGACGATTCCGTACTGCGCACAACCTTGGCTTCATGCTTCTGGAAAGTTTAGTGCCCATAAAAGGGGTCAATGACAAATGGATTTGGAACGGATTTTTTCTGGGTAAGTGCTGCGTCCCTTGTGAGTTAACATTTACGAGGTTGAAGATGTTTGCAGACTAGGTGACTGGGGGGTGAGGCTGGGGCGCGGTAGCTCCACCCCTTATGAAAACAGGGTTTTGATTGGGGCGTTATACGCCAGGCCCTTTTACAATCAGATGCGAAAATTGTAAGTTTTAAATATACGATATGATTGCATGAAAAAGCTTATCGTTTTAACGTATCGATGTTTCTACAGGATAATTTCCCCGTCCCAATTTTCCGGTCTACATATTGTATTCTTAGCCCTCACATCTATCTATTGGAACTGATATCGTAGCTGTGCTTCGTTTGCGAAGGAAATAAGTGCTAGATTTGTTCGAAACACGACGAAAACTATCAGAACATTATCTTGTTTGAGCAAAATAGCCTGTGAGGTTGCATTTCCAAATTTACCTGATTTTGTAGACCTGGTGGGGGGTGGGGGCTGTCTCCCCTCCCCTGAAAGGACATTTAAGGGGGTAAAGCCCCCTGTATAATCTGGAAACATGTCAATATACTATGCTTGCTAGTATACTGCTGATATTTCTTAAATTTACCCCCAAAAATCCCTGATACGTATCATGCCCTCTCCAGCTATTGGGACTGACGTGTAGTTGTGCTTCATTTGAGAGGGAAACAAGCATTAGATTCCTTTGAACCACGATGAAAGCCGTTGGAAAAATGTTGTTCATCCAAAAATAGGTAAAAGGCTGCATTTCCAAATTTACCTTT